TTCGTGCAAGTTTAGATATCAAGAATGTGTTTGGAGGGTGAGAATCATCAGGTTCATTTTATTTTATTTATTTTGATTTTGATGTGAGGAAATGGGTTTATTCATTTAATAATTCCACACTGTGAATATTCCAAATGTTACATTTTAGCCCATAACAGATAGAGTATGCAGTTAAATACACAATTTTTAAAAATGTAATTAGGATGCCATAAACATCATAGATTAATTAATACCTGTGGTACTCAAAATTATTTCATTCATGTATGTATTCATCATTAGGGTATTTATTTTTATCCTACTAGTAATTAGGTCTATCATAATGGATGTAGACACTCTTTTCTCAAAGCTTATATTGAATACGGGTGGAAAACTGAGATAATTAAAAAAATATCTATATAATTGTAATTATCATGACATCCAGAATGAGAAGAGACCCTGATTAAACTCATTAGCAGGATTTCTCTGCTGGGGATCTTAGTGATAAGCCTGTAATCCTAGCTACTCAGGAGGCTGAGATCTGAGGAGCGCAGTTCAAAGCCAGCCTGGGCAGGAAAGTCCATGAGACTCTTATTTCCAATAAACCACTCAAAAACTGGAAGTGGCGCTGTGGTTCAAACGGTAGAGTGCTCACCTTGAGCTGAAGAGTGCAGTACAGTGCTCAGGCCCAGAGATCAAGCCCCACGACTCACCCCCCCAAAAATTATTTAAGAAGTATCAAAAACATCCCTCATTGGTATATAAAATATTTTTGCAGATAATTTTGATGCTTTCATTTATGCCTTGCCCACTCCTTTTAAAATATTCTGTGCCTGTAACCATCTATGAATTTGGTTGAAATACATCTTCCCTTAGTCATACTTGCTATTCTTTATAAGTAAGAAATAAACTAGCCACAATTTGGCTTTCCTCATTATATTTATTATATAATATGTTCTCAGTAAATGTGTGCTGCAGAAGTAAATTGAATTATTTCCTATTATATCTATATTTGATAAACTGAAATCAAGAAGTTGATCACACATTTATTGAGAGTAGAGGATGAAGCACTGTAGAGAAGTCCGAGTTAGGAATGTCATTTGGGCAATCTTGATGACTAAAGAAAAATACATGGCTAATGCAAGTTGAGGAAATAAGCAGAGAAGGATTGCAAAAAGTGGTAAGAAGATCCCAGAAGCTCCTTCCCACCTCTATGTAGATGATATTCTTCCTCTGCCTGGAATATTCTGATGGAATTACTCTTAGAAAATCACCTGGTTAACTTTTAATCTCAGCTCAAGTATGCTGCCTTCCATCACACCCCTGCTATCATCAGCAGATAAAAATACTTAGCCAGAAAAATAAACTATATTCAGATCTCCAAGTAGACTGGTTCCTTAAAGGAGGAGGCATATGACTTGATTTTTTAGCCTCGACAATAAATTTTGTCAAGGCCACACTGAACACTATTTATTGAGAGAATGTGATAAAAAATATGAATAATAAAAACAATAGGGAGAAAGTAGAGCTTAAAAATGCCAATATGGCCTAACATGAGTACTGAATAATTTTATGCAACAATTTTAGAAAAGGAATGTATTTAATGTTCAACGATGTCAGTAAAAACATAAACATGAATAGAGCACATATGCACATAGACCCATAGGCTTTTGTAGTCAAAAGTAGAGGTCAACTTGACATAATGTACTAGAATTTCAAATTTGTGTTTGCTCTTGTTTTCTATTATAGATAGTTTTCTTAGACTTCCAAGAGAAGATGTGTCCCATGGTTCCAGAGTTGCCTGTAACAGTAACACTGATATAAAGTAGGAAAGTCCTCTGATTTAAAAATAAAACACTTTTATTGAGTTAATCTGACACCATAGAGAAATCAGATGTGAGGGACTTGAGCCCCAATATATTGAGCTCTGAAGTAACTCTACTTGGGAAGCTGTGGATTTTCCATAAATTAATAAAACTGATGCTTAGCCTGAATTACGAATCCTCTAATCTAGTGGTTTGGGGGGAAGTATTTAAGGATGGCCAGCCATATGAAAGAATTTAATCCATGTAGATTGGAGATTCTTTGGCCTCAAACAACAAACACACTACACCACTCACGCTCTTGGTATATCTTAAGATGGCATCTCTGGGTGTTCTGATGTGAGAATAGCTTACTTCCAGTTCAATTTCCTTTCAACAATTCCCCAAGAGTTCCTTACAAGGTTAGCAGTGTGCCTCTGCTTATCACTGCTGGACCTGCTGCTCTTGACTTTACCCATTTCATGTGTTGCTCCATCTTCCTGGGTGTATTGGTTGTACATGGTTAGTATTAAGTTTAGGACTGGCCTCCTAACAGTATTCTGTACTTTGCTGGCTTCCATATTCAGACATTGGATTCCAGTCTTACAATTACAGCTGACACTCTCTGTCAGGGATTATTCTATATATTGAACTTCTTGTTGCTTTGCTTATTCTGAATGTAATACCTGGTCCCTAAAATAAATAGGTATGCTAATCTCTCTCTCTCCATCCCTCCCTTGATCTCTTTTCCTAGGAACAAGTATGTTGTTCAAGCTAATATTGAACTCACAATCCTCCTGCTTCAACATCTCTAGTATTATGACTACAGGTACATGTTGGTCATTTTATGACATGGGCTATCCACCTGTAAATTCCTATAAGACAGGAACTATTATTTTGTGCTTAATATTTAAAAGGAGGTAGGCAAAGGGGAAGGAGTACAGAGCCAGGAAGAGGTAAAAAATACAATGATGACATTTACTTATCTGCAGTAATACACCATGGCTTCCTACAAACTAAAATTTATGTTGGGGACAGAACAACAAATGAACTAAAGGAAGGCCTCTGGGGTATTTCCAAGGAAAGAAGATGAATACTAGCAATGAGGGCTCCCGTTGGAGGAGACCCTGATCTACACTACTCAAAGATCTGAAGTAGCCCTTGGTGCAGCAGCAGTAAACAACAAATTTTCTTCTCAATTTGGCTTTCTCCAAAGGTACCAAGGAGAGGAAACAACTCAAGATTCTCAAGGGAAAAAGTCCTACTAAGGCCTATTGAATATTGGTCTTCATTATCAATCACAAAAGTCATTATGTTCTCTAGGCCTGGCAAAGATCACCCTCTTGATCTCATTAAATGATTCTAATCGTTCTTATGTGTTACTCTCTGCAGAACAGTCTCCAGGGTGGCTTAGGGCAAAATCCAAACCACAGTTGGTTGAGAAGTGAGTGACTGAGAAGAATCTAATTAGTGCTTGAGATAAATTTGAGCAAAAAAAGTGGGGGGAGGGGGGAGATGGAGTGGATTGAACCACTACTAAAGCTTTGTGAACAAAATTCTAAAAAGTGTGTGTTGCTCATCATGAAGAAGAAACTGAGATGCGGAGGTTGGATTTGATCCGGAGGCTTGTCTTCTTTCCATTCAAGTTCACGCTGCATAGGGGAAACAGAGCTGAAAGGAATTTTGATTGAGGGTTTTGTTGCACCTGGTAAGGAACTGTGCTAAGAATCTGCACACAGGTTGTTCATTTTAATTGCTAGCCCAGAAGTTATTCTCTGGAGTGTAGCGCTAAGTGGAAACTAAGTATCCATTCACCACTGGCGTGTAAACTAGGCTTCATCATGAAAATTCTCTGGAAATGGTCATGCGAAAGGCTAAAGGAGTGTCAAGGCATGATGTCTTCCAGGTTAAGTGATAGCTAGTCCTTTACTCTCCATTTTACAGCCCAGAAAAGGGAGTGTGAGCGAGGGCCTCAGCTACTTCACTCTTGAGTTAGGAGACCACTTAGGGGATTTGGGGAACTCCGTTCTACCACCACCACACCATCTGGCAGGAGATCCTGAGGTGGTGAGGGGGGACGGGGGCGCTGTCCGGGATGGGAGTTGTCTTCCCCAGCTTTCCCCGTTTCCAGATGTTAGCTTGGGATGGGCTTTCGCGCTTTCGGGAGAAGAGGAGAATGTGTAAGGGAGGGGTCCTTGACAGCTTAGCTTCTACAACAGGTAGCACAGGTGTCGGGGCCTGCGGCTGTCCCCGAGGCCCAGCAAAGGGGGTCAAGTTAATTTTCAAGAAGCGACTTTGCTTGGAATCTGAACATGAAATGCAAAAAAAAAAAAAAAAATCCCACCGGAAGACACTCTTCTATTTGTCTCTCCGTCTGTTTTCTAAGAGATTTTTTTAAGTCCCTCCTACTCTTTCTTCCTCGATCTTCTCCTTTCTCCCTCCCCTACTCAGCCACCCCCACCCCCCACTTCCTCTTCTCTCCCTCCCCCTACTGGCTCGCGGGTTATTTCCCTCCTGGCTTGCCTGGCTTTAGCCAGGTCGGAGCTGAGGACTAGGGAGAGCCTGAGGGCGAAAAGGCTGCATTGGCGGCCTGGGGAGTGGGCAGATCAGCTGGGAGGGGGGCGGAGGGAACGCTCTCTCTCTCTCTCTCTCTCTCTCTCTCTCTCTCTCTCTCTCACACACACACACACACACACACACACTACGTATATTCGAAAACTCTCGGACGCTCCTCCAGTCTGGAAAGAGCAGTGGAGCGCCCCGGGGACCGCTGCGCGCGCCCTGGGTTCCCGCACACACGCCGGGCAGCCCCGATCCTCATCCCCCAGCGGAGCCGCCGCCCCCCGTGCGTTCCTGAAAATAAAGTGAGGAAAGTGGAGAGAGCCAGCCAGGCAATTCCCGCAAAGACCCAGGCCACACGCGCAGACCTCCAGCTCGTCCTCGGCGGTGCGGGGGAGCGGCGCCCGCAGCGCCAGGCGCGGGTGAGGTCCGCGCCACCGCCCGGGCGAGCCCACCTGCCTCTCGGCGCTCCGCCAGCGCCCGACGCGGGGCGCCCCGCTGGGCCCGGGGCTCCAAGCGACCCCCCTCTCCCGCCTCCACTCCGCCACACCTGCCGGTGGACCACCCTCGGCTCGAAGGTCGGCGCCTCGCACCTCCCGATCGTGTTTCCCTCGGTGATCCAAGCGGCGACGGACGCGCGACACCGCCCCGGGACGCCTCGCCATGGCTGGGGCGCTCAGGCTGCTGTGTGTGTGGCTGGGCTGCTTCTGCGTGAGCCTGGCGTGGGGAGAGAGACCGAAGCAGCACTTCCCCGAACGGCCCCGGGCGGTGCGCGGCGATCGCTCGGCAGGTGGTGGTCTCAGCCCGGAGCTGCAGCCGCACGACCAGGTGTCGGAGCACATGCTGCGGCTGTATGACAGGTACCGCGGCGGCGGCCGGGCCCCGGCGGCGGCGGCGGCGCGGAAGCCAGGCTCCGGGGAGCGGGGCTCCCAATCCCTGCGCCCTCACCCACTGCGCCAGGGCAACACCGTGCGCAGCTTTCGAGCCGGAGCCGCAGGTGAGTGTTCGAGATGAGACCCCCCCCCCCATCCCCACCCAGCCTCGCTTCTCGCGTCCCGCCCCGGCACCCCAGCCCCGCGCCCCTGGACCCCTGGACCCCCGCCGCTCCCTCCTGCGGTCTTGGCTCCGAGTGAGCTGCCCCGCGATCGTTCCTCTCAAGCCCCCACGGTGCCTTTCCGCCAGTTGCCTTCCGAATCGTCTCTGTTTGGGAATGGGAGTGTAGAGGAGGACGAGATGGGGGTGGGTGAGTAGTTGAAGGCAACTGCGTGAAAAAGGGGGGAAGGGGAGACACCTCATTTGCAGCGAAGCCCTCTTGCCCTGGGTGCGGGAGCAGGGCCGCGGGACCTCAGACTCTCGAGCGATTCCTCAGTCAAGCTGTGGAATTCCCCGCCCTGGTTTGGACTTTAGCTATGTTTATCCAGAAGCAAATGCCATTTTCTGCCACCCCAGGGCCATACATAGATTTGAGAGAGAGAGAGAGAGAGAGAGAGCAACAACAAAATAACACACCAAAACCCCGCACTTGAACTAGACACCTCGGGAACTCTGTGGTCCAGACCTTACACCCACTCCTAACTCGCGCCCTCTGTGTGTTACTAGGCTTGATCATCTCTGGATGGCAAATACACCAAATCAGGCGCTTGAATGTCTAGCTTATTAAACACCTATCTGGGCAAATAGGGGATGTATCATCTACCCCAAGAGAAGTGGATGTGTGCGGGGGAAGGCGCAGTGGTGGACAGTAAACGTCTCTTGGAAACTGCAGTTAAAATCTGCTCACCCTATTTTTCAAAGCAAATCACTGCAGATTGAAATTCATGGCTTAGCAAGGTTTTCCTCTTAGCCTCTGTGGTGAAGGGCATAACTTATACTAACAGGCTCCCTCCCTTGTGCTAACAGCTTGAGGGAAAGTTTCTTGGCCTCTCAATGCTGTTTGTATGCTTTCAGGATGCACCAGGCGCTTTTTTTGTGTCTTTTTTTTCTTCCCCACCTACATTCAGGATAAAGGGAAATGTGACCGCAAAGCGCGTCTTCGGTAGACCTTTGAGAAATAGCCAAGAATCTTCAAGGAAGGAGGCTTTGTCTCCATGCTCTGTCAATTCTGTCAAAATCACTAGAAAGTTCCTGAAACTTTGATATTTAGAACTCTTAGGGAAAAAAAAAAAAAGGAAAACTAAACCATCCATCAGGCAAAGCCCTAGGATGACACTGTAAACACTCTCAGCTCACAGGCATGATGACATTTACAATAAATGTGAGTTATGCTTCCTAATGCAAAAGCATTTAGCTAGAGACTGAGCTGAACCAGATTTCGCCTTCCTCTTAGAGCCATGAGCAAGATCGGAAATAAAGTTGGCCTCCGCTACAGACTAGAAACCTGCACTGAACATTATCCATAGCATCCCAGCCACTTGATGAAGCTGTTCTGACCAGGGACCACACCAGTGACAGATCTGTTTACTTTAGTGCATCTCTGAGCTCTCAGCTTGGAGAAGCAGCAACCTGGGACTAAGGAGATTAAAAGAAAATTGGGGAGGGGCACAGCAGGTGGTGATAAGAAAGATACTCAAATCACTCTTCCCTTGATAATCATTTTCTTCAATAGGTTTCTAAGGGAGTGGTTGGGGCATCTAAGAGACAAACAGTATTTTTTTTTGGTAACAGCAAGTTTTAGTTTTAGTATAAATCATAGACTTCGGAGGGAGACTGATTTTGTTTTGTTGGCACATATTGTATAGCTTTTTATAGTGGGGAAGGGGGAGGGGTAGATTTGGATATTTGAGACATATTTTGTGGCTTCTACTAATTCCATTTATTATAATTTCACTGTCCACTGTCAGTCTCACTGTGGTCTTTTATCAGCAAATGATAAACCTTGATACCGAGGCCAGATGTTCTCTTGAAATGATGAATTGGAGCTTAAAGCATATATACAAGGCTGTGTGCCCCCCGATAAGAAAACTAATCCCTTTAGCATCCTAGGGACTGTCCTAATGACTTATTCATCAAATGTAGGCACTGGTTTTTGTGGAAACTTCAGTGTCATGTTACCTGGTTGGAGACTCCTGGAGAGGTGGTTCATGTTGGACCTCTTCCAAGAGTGTTTAGTTACTAACACACTGAAAAGACTTCATTATTAGGCAGTTCTGGCTATAATAAGGCAGGACTCCAGGAAGCTGCCAAGGGTTTTGAGTGTGTCAGTTCCTTTTGCTTCATCCATACCAGCATTTCCGTAACACCCTTTGAATTGGGACTTGTGTCCTGATGTACTGAAAAATACTGTTTGCATTAATAAATGAGAAATGTTTCCCAGTCCAAGGTGTATGGAATTCAAAAAACTATGATCCTCTCTATACCAAAGATGCTGGAGGATTTATGGAAGGTGAGGTGGTGTGCTTTCCACATGGGGTGATTTTGGGAGGAAGCACTGGGGCTTTTACTTGGAGCCTGGACACTGTCCCTTAGTTATTTAATTCAAGGCTGGTGCTCTACCACTTGAGATACAGCACTACTTCCAGCTTTTTAGTGCTTCATTGGAGATAAGAGATTCATGGACTTCCCTGCTTGGCCAGGCTTTGGACAAGATCCTCAGATCTCAGCCTCTCAAGTAGATAAGATAAGAGTAAAGGCATGATCCATTGGCACCTGCTGGAGTGATTTTGTGAGTGCTTGTTTATAGTGCTTTGTTCCTTATAATAACATACATTATTAAAATTATTTATTGTTCTGTACCTAGGGTCTCTTTGGTTGAAATTTAGCGGCTGTGGTCTCCCTCTGATTACTTTTACTTAATCTATTACTTGATGGTGGGTGGCACCCATCCTAAGTACACTTGCTGCTAACCCCTTTTCTCTTCCCTCAATGCCAGTCAGTTGGTTGCCAAAACCAAAAGCCTGAGGGTTTATAAAATTTGTGTGTGTGTGTGTGTGTGTGTGTGTGTGTGTGTGTGAGAGAGAGAGAGAGAGAGAGAGAGAGAGAGAGATGTATGGGTTTACATCATGATAAGAATTTTATTTTGCCCTTTGTAAAAGGTGACTTACTAAATTATTGATGACAGCTTGATCAAAATTGACCATTTGGAGGAATGACAGAAGGAGGTGAAATTAGTTTTTATTTGCATCTCAATTTAAGTATGTTCTCAGCTACTATGAGATAAAAGGATAACATTTTACAGTAGGTTTTCGCCTGTCTTGACTCTTTTTTTAATAAGTTTTTTATTGTGAAAATACTGTACAGAGGGATTACAGTTACATGAGCAAGGTAATGAGTACATTTCTTTTTTTTTAATTTAATTTTATTTTATTTGTGAACATACTGTACAGAGGGGTTACAATTACATGGGCAGGATAATGTGTACATTTCTTACCAAGCATTGCAGCCTCCTCCTTTGTTTACCCTTCACCTCCCTTCCCAGCCTCCCCCCTCCCCGCCATGAGTACATTTCTTATCAAGCATTGTTGCCTCCTCCTACAGTCACTTCATCCCATTTTTTTTAGTCATTAATGTAACCTTTTAAAGGAAAGCAATTTTAGTGAGTTCTTTTAAGATACATGCAATTACGAAAAACATTCCATTTCAGTGGGTATGTGTCACCTTTATAAAAAATAACACATATTTCATGAATAAGAGAAAACAGTATTAGGGTAATCTAGGCCCACCAGGGAGGAAGAAAAGGGAGATGCTTTCCTAATAAGAACAAAAACATTTGAACATAAAGATTTCTTCTGGGCATTGGTAGCTCATGCCTTCTAGCTACTCAGGAGGCTGAGACCTGAGCATCACAATTCAAAACCAGCCCAGGCAGGAAAGTCTGTGAGATTCTTATAGCCAATTAAACACAGAATGAGAGAGAGAGAGACAGAGACAGAGACAGAGACACAGAGAGAGACAGAGACAGAGACACAGAGAGAGACAGAGACAGAGAGAGACAGAGACAGACAGAGACAGACAGAGAGAGAGAGGGAGAGAGACAGAGAGAGGGAGGAAGGGAGGGAGGGAGGTGGAGTTGTGACTCAAGTGGGACAGCACTAGCATTGAACAAAAAAGATCAGGGAGAATACTCAGGTCTTGAGTTCAAGCCCCAGGACTGGCACACCCAAAAAAGGGAAGAATTTTGGTTTTGGCATGTTTCTGGAGTACAAGGCTAAAATAAAAGGCTCCAGGAAAGATGGTATAGAATGAAGGGCATGAACCAATGGGAAAGCACACTGATAGATTTGATGGCAAGGCTCTGAATTGACTTTATCAAAACATAGTTCTATCTTAACATACCCAGCATTGAGAAACTAGACTTAAAACTAAAGAATACTTGGATTATGTGATGTTTTTGTTTAAAGGACAATAATACATCTGGAGATGAGAAGCTGGATATGCAGCTGCTTTGAATTACACACTCCTTTGAATACATGATAGCCTTTAATGAAGTTCTTACTGTAACAGGCAAGACAGCTTTATAATCTCTGACATTTAGAAATCCATAATACCATGAATTCTTGATTATCCATGCTCAATGGAAACGTGAAATAGAATGAATTACATTAAAAAAAAATCAAATCCAACCAGCTTTGTAGTATTGCTAGACACATTCAAAGAAGCCAAGAGACCATAAATGGATAATTCATTCAAGAATATTATTCATTCAATATTCATTAAGTTATACACATAATCAATAAATAATTTAGAAGGCTATCTATATTTTGCCTAAGTACTGAAAGTTCAAAGTACTTGACAAAAAGGAGTTAGACCTATTTTTACTTAAATAGGGATAGGAATATCATCTACTTCTAAATATTTTTGCATTAAATTACAGAATTTTTTATTTGGAGAGACTGAAGAAAATGAGCTGAAGCTCTCCAATAGGAGAAGAAATGGCCATTACAATACTGTTTACCAGACAAATGAGCAAATGACAAAGTTATGATTTCTAACGACCTGATCTCATTTTTAAATTAACTATTATTATCCTTCCTTCCTCCCTCCTCCCTCCCTTCCTTCCTT